AGAGGAATCTAACTGGTTCCAGGACCGACTTCATATGTTAAAATATTCGTATGGTGGTACAAATATTCCCATCAGAATACACTGTAATGCCTAGAATTGGTTCCAAAAACCTACGATAACTCCTTAATAAATACTGCAGATAATTACACATAGCAAGAAAACAAATTACTTATAGAAGAGAGATGGAAGAAATAGATGATAAAGAAATAATCAATAAAAAGGGTTTTTATTGGCAGATAGAGACTGAGATACAGGATGTACCCTAACTTACTCTGACTTTCACTACCTGAACTTTAAATGAACTTAGCTTATTTATTTTTACTTAATTTTTATATATACATTTTTTATATGACTTCAACGTTATACATATGTTGGATATTTACTTTGTCGAGTTGAATATTTGATCGAATTTCACTTTGTATGTTGAAAAATGAATATGTTTAGGCATCGTAAGTAGAGTTTTTAAACCTTTTTTTATCATGTCAAACCCAAATCAGTTTTTGAATACACTGACCGGGTGTCCTGGTCCAGAAAAACACCAGCAGCTCACTGGCTCAGTGCAGGAGTCCCCCAAAGCTCAGTGCTGGGGCCCCTTCTCTTGGCTGGATATACATCTATGCAGATAATATCCGGCTCTATCTGTCACTGGACAGCCTCCTGACAGCCTCCTAACAGACCTCCTAACAGGTTTCTGTCCCTGAGCAGGAGAAGGTGCTGCTCTGGCTGCTGCAGTTCATGCAGGAACAGGCCATCTCTCTGGACGAAGTCGACCAGAATGGTAACACCGCCGTGCACGTCGCTGCCCAGTACGGACACCTCACCTGCATCCAGGTGAGCTGCCCTCTGACCTCTCTCACAGCTCTGTGCAGCCTGCTGATGCCGTTAGCACATAGTTAGCACGTGCTTAGTTTGTGTTTAACATGTTGATAGCTTGTTAATTGTGTAGTTAGCTTGTAGTTGGGGCATATTTAGCTTCAATGGACCTTTTAGGTAGCTTTTAGTTTGTGTGTCTTTGTTTTTTTGTGGGTAATTATTTTGTAGTTAGCATATAGTTGATGTGTAGTTAGCTTGTTGTTGCATTTTGGGTAGCTTGAAGTTAAGAGTTTTCCAAGTTTGCTCATTATTTTGGTTTGGGTTGTTTAATGTGTAATAAACTTGTAGTTAGCATTTACTTGTGTTTATCTATTTCACTGTATAGTTGTGTTTAGTTTAGCATGTAGTAAACTTGCACTTTCTAGTACTTAGCATGTTAAGCATTTAGTTAGCATGTTAAGATAACAGCTAGCAGGTTAAGGTTTTAGTTAGCATGAGTTAGAATGTTTAGCCTGTAGTTATTACGTCAAGCTTGTAGTTATGTTTAGCATGTAGTTAGCAGGTTAAGCTTGTAGATAGCATGCACAGCTTGTAGTTAGCATTTTTAGCATGGAGTTAGAATGTTTAGCCTGGAGTTAGCATGTTAAGCTTGTAGTTAGGATCTAGAGGAGAGGAACAAATCATCTGTGTTGATTTGTGAGTCCTGATTTTTTTCTTAATATTGGTCCAGCATTTGCTGTGTTTAATGTAAATAACTGTTTTTATTTTTGCGTTTGTTGATTTTGCTCACAATTTTTTTTATTTACTTCTTCATTGTAAAAATAGTTCTTTAAACATTTTTATGGTTTTCACAAAAGAAAACAACAACTTTTCCTGCCCAAACAGGGCAAAGTGGGCAGTTTTTAAGGTGGAATGGAACAGTTACCACCCTCAGATGAATCTTAAGCTCTGAAAATAACGACCCTGGCGTTTGTGTCCAGACGCTGGTGGAGTACGGCTCCAACGTGACGGTCCAGAACCAGCAGGGCGAGCGGCCTTCCCAGAGTGCCGAGCGGCAGGGCCACACCACCTGCGCCCGCTACCTGGTCGTCGTGGAAACCTGCATGTCGCTGGCCTCACAGGTGGTCAAACTGACCAAGCAGCTCAATGAGTGAGTCTGGGATTTGTCCTCTTTTTGTGTTTATCACGCTGTCGCCATGTTTCTGGATCTCCGGGAGTTTCCTCACTCTTTAATCGCATGCAGACGTCTCAAGAGAGCGCCAATAAAATGAAAAAAAAACACTGAAATCTGAATTTTATAAGGAGCAGTTGTTTTTTTGTGTCTGAAACGAGCTCCTGTGGCTACGGAGGGCTGAAGCTGCCAATATTTAAAAGATTCATTATAATAAACAATAAATTAATTAATTGATACATAGACCAAGTGTCTTTATTACGATAAATGTTACTAAAATCCGTAATGCTATGAAATGGTTTATTAACGTGGGATTCTATAAATATGTTTAATATTTATGTAGTTATGAATGATTGATTTTTCTTCATTTCTTAATCTATTTATCTATTTCTTTCTTTATTATTCCATAATTTTCTTTAAAGAAAATAATTTATTTGGCTTTGTTGTTGTTGTTTTTTTATGTAATATTTAATAATTTGTTTTTCATTTTTTACCTAAAAATTTCTATGGCTTTATAAAATTTTTATGTATTTTTTTATTCTTTTTTTTCTAAACATTTTTGTTCTGTGGTGCCTTTGCAAAGTAATAAAAAGATCGGGAGTTCTCAAAACTCAAAGCATGAAAATAACTTATATTTTTTAACAGTAAGTGGCCTCATCTGAGAGGTTGGAGGGAAACACCAGTGGAAAACGTTGATGTTTGAGAGCTGTCTCACACATGTTGTGTGTCTGTGGCCCTGCAGGCAGGCTGCAGACAGGATGACGTTACAGAAGCAGCTGCAGAGGCTGATGGACCCCAACAAGGCCGAGGCCACGCCCTCCAGGTCGCCCAGGTAACACTAACTCAGCTTCAGCACCTGAAATCTGGATCTGATCATTTTCAGTCCTCACATGGCTGCAGGTCCAGTTGTTATTTATCATTTGTGGGGTTTTAAAAAAAAATCTAATATAAACTTTTACTGAATAAGCCATTCATATTTATTGTCTTTATATTAGTTTCAATCAATTCAGATAACGTGTTGAATCATTGAAATGAGTTCCTACTAAAACACAATTAAAGTGGGAAAATAGAAATATATAATAGTTTTTTTGTGTTTTGTTTATTAAAACTAATTATTTATTCATTAAAATAAATTGAATAAATTACACATTTATTCAAATAAATACTAGACATAGACTTGCACATTGTGACAAATATGTAACATATAATCATATAATTTTATTTACATTTATTTGAACCAATTAATTATTTATTAAAATAAGTATAATAAATAGCATATTTATTCAAACAAATCTTTGAAAGAATCTAACACATTATGGAATTTTTTTTTTTTTTTAAACGTATTAGAACCAATCAATTATTTATTAAAACAAATATAATAAATAAACCGTTCATTCAAACAAATCCTTTACAGAGTCTCACACATTATGGAAAATATGTAGCATATAATAGTTTCAGAGAAGAGATAATAACTGTTACAGATCCTTAAAAATCTGTCTAAAAAACATGATTGAGGAGAACCTGAGAGGAGGTTTTTCCAGAAGAAAAAGTTTCTAGAGCTGAGTGGGGGCTGACTTGTCCTAAACATGGCTCTCCCTCTCTGGACTCCAGCTCCCATCAGCCCCTGCTGGAGGCGTGGCCTGAGCTGGTGCTGACGGCCGAGGGCTCCCCGGCGGACGGACACTGGCTGGTCCGGCAGGCCGGGGGGGCGGCGCCGGACTCGGTTCTGCGGCAGCTGCTGGGGAAGGAGGGGCCGGAGCCCCCCCGGGAGAGGCCCCTCCCCCCCGCCGGCGCCCTGGGGGGGGCGGGGGGGGCCCGCCGCGCCGGGCTGGTGGAGCGGCGGGAGCTGAAGCTGGCCCGGCTCAAGCAGCTCATGCAGCGCTCGCAGAGCGAGTCCGACTCGGAGGGCTGCCCCCCCGAGGAGGGCCGGGCCCCAGGGGCCCCGCCCCCCGGAGCCCCGCGCCCCGATAGGCCGGCCCACCTGCCCGTCACCGAGGAGGGGGCGGAGCCTAACCCCCCGGCGGCGAGGAAGCACGCCCCCGCCGGGCGCAACCCGTCCCCGACGTCCAGCGACCCCGAGGCGGCGGACGCCAAGACGCCGGACGGCGAGCAGAAGCCGGCCACCAGCCCCAAGAGCGCCCTGAAGTCGCCCTCGTCCCGCAGGAAGACGTCCCAGAACCTCAAGCTGAGGGTCACCTTCGACGAGCAGGTCCACCGGAGCGCCGGCCAGGGGGCGGAGCCTCCCCGAGCGCCGCCACCGGCCAAGGAGCGGACTCCCACGGCCGGCGCCGAAAGCCGGCGCCCCTTCGGGACCTTCCGCTCCATCATGGAGACGCTGAGCGGGAACTCCAACCACAACAACAACAACAACGGCGGCGGCGGCTCAGCGGGCCCCGGCTGCCCCGGCAGGAGGCCGGACGCCAAGGGCAGCCCAGGGGGCGGGGCCAAGGGCAGCCCAGGGGGCGGGGCCAAGGGCAAGGGCAGAACCAGCAACGTTTGACCTGCGAGTGCCTGCGAGTGGCGGCCAGAACACGAGAAACGCGGCAATGGGGTCAGGGTTCACGCCATCAGGCCGCCATTTTGGTGCAGTTTTATGTGTTTTTGGACAGCTTCAAAGTCACCGAAAACTCCCAAAACACACAAATTTATAATAAATACGAGGAAAAGGAGGTTTGAAGAAAAGAGAAAAACAGAGTTTCAGAGTAGTGATGACATTTTCACCCTAAAACTTTTACTAAAATAGTAATTTTAGCCGATAGGAGTCGGGTATCCGTTCACTATCAAAGCTGATTTAAAGTAATTTGTATTTGATTTTTAAAAGAATTATTTATCTAATTGTTTTTTCCTTTTTTTTATGCAGAATCAGAAACATTTTCATCAGAATTTAGCAGTTTTTATTTTTTAAGAACAGGACAACTTAGTCCCAACAATATAAAATATGGGAAATTATATAAACCGGTAACTTAAAAGGCAAAATCATTCAAAAGAGAATAAACTAATTATTTATAAAAGTGAAAAGCGCAATGAAAGAAACAAATAAGTAAATAAATGATCTCTGGATGGGCCACAGCTGGATGAGCAGCTGTGGAAAGGGGCCCAAAAGCTGTGAAAGTCCCACTCAAACCTCTCGTTTCTCATGTTCTGCGCCTCCTGCTTTCCTTTTATTTTCTCTTTTTTTGGAGGTTCTCAGTCGTTTGAAGACAAAACCCAGAACTTTTACAGCCCGGCTCCTCTGATCGGAGGTTGCCCGTCCAATTCTCAGCCTCTAGGACGGGTTTTTGTGGCTTCGGCCTGTTTTTGTCTGTTTTTGTTCACTTTATGAATGAAGTATTTATGTTTCTGCACAATTCAAATGTAAAATTATACTCACGCACAGCCGATGTTTTTCAAACCACTGTACATATATGTGTTTTATTTAATTTTCCATGTGTTTCCATCATAACCCAGCAGTTTTCCCTCCTGTGGGGATTATCTATGCAGTGTTTGTGGACGCAGATGAAACCAGAGGCTCTGACTGCTGGAGGCTGCCGGCTGCAGCCTGACGCTCCCATTACAGGATCACAGCAAAGAGAAAAGGCGGGAAAGTCAGAAAAGGCGGGAAACCCAAAAAAGGCGGGAAAGCCAGAAAAGGGGGGAAAGCCAAAAAAGGCGGGAAAGCCTCACAGGGAGGAGCTTCCCAGCTCCGAGCCTAACTGGGCTGCTCAGAGCCAGATGTGGAACCAGGTGTAGCTCCAGATGTGGATCCAGATGTAGCTCAAGATGTGTGGAACCAGATTTGGATCCAGATGTAGCTCAAGATGTGTGGTACCAGATTTGGATCCAAGTGTATCTCCAGACATGGAACCAGGTGTGGCTCCTCATGTAGCTCCAGATATGGATCCAAAGCTGGCTCCGGATGTGAAACCAGATGCAGCTCCAGATGTGGATCCA